TACATTCAGATCATTCCCAACCTGGATAGTATTGTAGAGATGCCATTGCCCGTTGAAGATGGGGTCTGCGATCCCCAGGGAAGTTATAATCTCCTGTTGAGCCTGAGCGGCTACCGGGTCCTCTTTGGGGGCAGCGGGCGACCGGTGGACATTCACTGGCTGGGGAATTCGTTTCTGGAATCTCTTCTTCGGGGCCTGCTTTTCGGACCAGAGAATGCCATCGAGCCCCTCCTCCCTCTTGCTCAAGGCTGGGAGGCCAGCAACCGAATCGCCGGAGCGTCGTCGCAAACTCCTCCGATGCCGTAGCTGATCCAACAGGGTGGTGACTTCATGACTGCTATCTCTGGGGATGGAGAAGGTATGGTGTTGCGGCAGTTCTCCGATAGGGCCTTCATGGCGAGCTCCCAGTCGCTGTGCGATGTCGGCTGGGGAGGCGGAGTCGTCTAGATGCAAGGCGAAATAATCGCGTGTCTCGTAGGATCGGTGAGGGTGGAGGGAGGCCGAGGCAGCGGCAGAGGCACAGAGGAAGCCGAGGGCCACTGCGGCACCACCAGAAAGACGCATGGCGGGAGCGCAGTCGGTGGGATAGAACGTCTACTCAATGAGAGTTGAAAAGAGATTAGGCCAGGTAATATAGTGATTGCGGCATAGACACCGAAGTTGTCTCGCAACCGGGCAGCGATCGACCAGGGGAGTCCGCGAGACCGAGGTTAGGTGGCAACGATGGAAGAGGAGGTGTTTTGAAGGGTGGAATGAGTGTGAGAGGTGTTGATTGATAGGTAGTCAATTAGACCCGACCCCAAAATTCTGGGGGGATGAATTAAAGGAACGTGTTCTCAATAAGTTAGCAATTGGTTTAGCGGTAGGGGTTAAGTTACGCCTCGGGGCGGCAAAGCATAGACTAAGATAGCAGCAAGTAAGTTAGCGACCGACTCCGTGGCTGGAGACAAAGACGGGAGTGAGTCTGCGACACCCGTGCTCCTTTCTTTGAGCCTTTGAGCCATCCTGCTCTCTAACCTGCCTGGGCTTAGAGTCAGCCCAGTGGGTTCTTGGCACCTGGGCCTGACGTGGGCACCTCAAGCTGAGTCAGTCTTCGGTCTTCCATACGTGAGTATCAAAGCACGAGGAAATCATTAGTAGTTATTGCTCGGATATAGGCTCATTTGACATTCATTGAAACTATAGTTCATTCACCGAGTCTTGAAGGATTTGTCCACTGGGATGCATGTCGTCGACCTCGAATACACCACATACTCCGTACACGCTGCGGAGTTCACTGCATGTTATTCGTCAGCCGCTCCAAACTTGCGTGATCGACTGGGCCGAATGAAACTGGTCATCTTGGCGAAACATGACGGTCAATAGGGGTAAACACCCGGTCACAACTGATGACAGACCGGGGTTGACTGGTGAGATAATGACTATGTCAGTGGTAAATACGACGCAACATCAGATGCTATGAAAGCTGGCTGAGATGTCAACAAAAACATGTAGCCATAAAGAGGGCAAAGCAAACCAAAAAAGAAGATGTGGACTTGCTCACACTCGGACTCGAACCGAGGATCTCAGCATTACTAGTGCTGCGCTTTACCATCTAAGCCATGAGAGCAGTGTTGCTTTATGGCCTCAATAGGATGCTTTGCATTCCTAAGCGCATTGACCATAGATCGTTTCGAATCATCGTGGGCGACGACAAGGTATGCGACAAGCCAGGACCATCCAACCCAGGCAAGGGCATACAACCTGCACTACTACCTACGACTCGGGGTACTGAAGCATACTGGACCCTTTCCAGCTATTCACCTATAGTTCGAGTGAGCTCGGAGTCTCAGCCCGTGCCTCGTCCTCAGACCAAACAATTCGGATTGTTGGACAGTGATCTTGTGATCAACACATGCAAGTGAGTCTCCGTCCAGCAGTCCTGATATAATTGCTACTATACTGGGACGTCTGAGGACAGTGGATGCATAAAGCCAGTGGTTGCCCTGCAAGGTAAGAATTGGGAGTGTACGGAAATCGTTTTACGCCGTGCGGCATTTGTCTTGCAAGGATATCTATCGATTGCATGTACATACTAAATCAAATGAGACTGAAAGGGTAAAATATTGGTGTAACTTTCCCAATTCCTTCAGCAGGGGCAGCAGTTAACATGCGAGACAAAGAAGGGGCACAAAAAATGAACGACACCTGTGAGATTCGAACTCACGCGGGCGAACCCACTGGCTTAGCAGGCCAGCACCTTAACCACTCGGTCAAAGTGTC